CTGTAGAAACTCTCGTCCAAAACGACGTCGTTTTGGTGTTGATTTTTTTTTTTTTTTTTCCCAGCAGTGCAATCAATCGTTCATTCATTCTCCATTTCTCCAAAGTTTATTTCCAGCGTGAACCCTTTCCTTTCCTTCACTCTCTCTGCGAGTTAAGCCGTCACCAACATCTCCACCGCGGCTGTGTCATCTCATCTCAATTGTTCCACCGGAATCTGACCCCACTGGAAAGCCACCGGAAAGGTGAGTCTTTTTTCGTCGACCATTACGTTGTCGGCTGATTTTTCGCGTTTTGATTTCATTCTCCCAAACCCTCCATTCTCTTTCTCAATCGGCAATGAAACCGTCCAACCTTTGAGCTTCCCTTCCCTTTCCCTCAATGAAACCCTCAATTCTCCTTCTCAATCAATCCGACACTGCTGCCGAGGATGGGGGTTTCCACGGACACACTACCCGTGCGTTGCTTCCGTGGCGACGGCGTGTCTCCGTTTCCGTTTCTATCCCGTCTCTCTCAATCTCCTCAGTCCTCTCAAATCCCCAACTTTATCATGATATATGTGTTTTACGGGATCCAGAGATAATTGGGTTTTGTCTTGCTAATGATAGTAATACTTGTTCTATTAAATCAATTGTGAGGAGTATGTCATGGAGTTGAATCTGAGAGATTTTGTATGGCCTGATTAATTTTGCAATTTTTGCTTTGAACATTTGATACCAGAAAGATTTAATTTTGGCATGTTTTAAGGTTGTTGCATCCATAATGTTTTAAGGTTTTTCTAGCAAGTGTTTATTTATTTATTTTTTTCTTTTTGTTGTTGTAATGATGTAAAAGGTGTGAAAAAGATGAAGAATCTTTCCTCTATCTCTTGGCGATAAAAGAGAAAAAAGAATTAGCATCCCTCGTCTACCCCATAAAGGACAAAATGAATTTTTTTTAAGTTAGGAAAAAAATTCCTTTACTTTATATGCTCATGTAATTGCATAGTTAATGGGGTAATTGTTTTATAG